ACTGAGCCCTGGGGAACACCGCTCGTGACCGGCCGCCAACTGGATTGAACTCCATTCACCACAACTCTCTGGGCCCGGCCGTCCAGCCAGTTTTTGACCCAGCACAGAGTACACCTGTCTAAGCCATGAGCCGGCTTAGACATACACACACACATATATATATGTGTATGTGCATATTTATTTATTTATGCCACATACATACACACACACATACAGAGAGAGAGAGATATATATACAGGCCAAATGACTCATGGTCTAAAGGCATCTGTTGCTCTGCATTGACTCTAAACGATGCCCAGATTGACCAGATTAGCTATAGATGCTTACATGGCGTATGACAAAAGCAAAATGGGACGAATGCCTTCCTTATAATTCAGGAGACATGAGATCTTAGTGTAGTTTTCTATTTCGTGATAGAGTGTATGTGTCATTGTTTTACTTGTTTGTATTCCTGTTGAGTTATTCTCCCTCCATAGCTTTGATATTTATACTTCCCAGGGCTTTTTTGATTCCTGTTGGAATAGGACTTATTTGTACTACATATCTTTATAAAGAGGGATGTGTAATGGTCTATTACATGCTGTTATTTTGTATGGGAGCAAACAACAATCTGTATTTATGCAATAGATGATAGATTTTCACACCTGTCAGCTGCTCTGAAGGCTGCAAGCAGTGGCACTAAGCTCTTCTGCTTCATTCGGTCAATGCACGTTACTTATTGCTAACATACCTCCATTAAGCGCTGTGGTTAGGCCTGGCATGGCTTCTCCTGCTCAGGACTTTTCACCGGAGAAGGCTAATATTTCATCTGCTCCTAGCATGCACATCTTTATGCAGATAACAAGAGCAGAGTCATATGTCTCTTACTGCTCCAGTGGTTTTTCCTTTTTTCCCTAGCCAGGTTGGCTCAGGGGCTCTCTCTCCACATTTTGTCTTTGTTTCTTGGAAATTAAGGGAGACACACTGCTGGTAAAGGACCTGTCAGCAATAGTGGGTTACAGACTGGGCAACTATTACGGGGTTTAATTTTCCTAGCTATTAATGTCTACATAGAGAGTCTGAACCCAGGTCACCTCCAGCACGGGAGCTGTATACGTACTTTATCAGGAAGCTGTAACCTTCAGTTGAGCTGTACTTTACTTCTCGGTAGGGCTTGTTGGCCCTCAGGGGAAGTGTTTGTATCTATCTGAGGCTTCAGCCTTCAATACAACAAGCAGAGAGCAAGTAGAAAGCAGCAGGACCCAGCCTGGGAGCAAAACACCAGCACTGGAAGAGGCTGTGGCCAAAGGGGCACCATCACTCTTGTGCTTTCTCCATGGCCGCTCTCACTTGTTTTACATGAGATGTGGTGGTTGATATTTTTATTTTGTAGACTTTGATTTTCTCAGCATGAAACAACTAATAAACTATAAAAATAAATTGTTCTCGATGTTTGAAAGACAGCTTGATCTTCTTGCTATTGATCTAAACTTTGAAAAATACATGATTTATTTTCCATTACCCTCTTATTTTAACGAAAAGTATGACAAACTCAGGAACGTGTCGCAGGAAGGTTTCTTTTAAAGACCTGTGCTAAAGCTCACATCACACGTGTACTATCACAGCTAACCTTTAAAATGCAGGAGGAAACCAAAAATATTTGGGCAAGAGGATCCCTGGCAACGATGTCTCCAAAATAGATAATGGAAGCAATTAATAAATTTTTACAATCTAAGGGCAGTGGAGCTCCCTTAACCGTAACCCTCCCCAAGGGGTGGTAAATACACATAGTCCTATACCATGGCCAGGAACCCCAGTGTGAGACAGTGTGTTTTTCCAGAAGTCTGCGGTGTAAGAATCAGCCTGCACATTGCAATGTGTCATCATATGTGCCTTCATATAGGTGTCTCCATGTGAGCTGGTCCCATCACAGTGGAGATAAGAGGAGCCTAGAGACACTCAGCTATCAAATGCAGGTGTCCACCCAGGTTGAATAGCTTTCCAGACCCCATGGACCGCAT